GAACGGTGCCCAGCCGAGTTGAATCCGTCGATTGACCTCTCGGTCGAAGTTGGACTTACCTAGTCGGACTATTTGTCCCAGGTAAACGTACTCGTCAATAACTTCGAGCATAGTGCTCCCAACAACTACCGGCATAGGTGTGACATGGACATTAAACATGATCTTTGTTTTGTCCATGTTCATCTTAAGACCTATCCGTTGGGAGACACCATTGAGGTCATTGAGCATAGTGCTAAGGTCCTCCAGCGATTCTGCCATAAGGACTATATCGTCGGCAAATCGAAGGTGAGTGATGTACTCGCCATTGATGTTAATACCGTATCCTTTCCAGTCCAGTAGCTTAAAAACGTCTTCCAACGCAGCAGTGAAGAGTTTCGGGGATATAACATCAACCTGTCTTACACCTCTCTGCAGTTGGATAGGTTTCGTACTCTGGTTCTGTACTCGGATAGCCATCGTAGCCCTACTGTACAAACACTTCAGCACTTCAATATACCGACAGTCAACTAGGCAATGCTGAAGAGACTGTAGCACCGCCCAAATTTCGACGGAATCAAAGGCTTTCTCATAGTCCACATACGCCAGGCAAAGTGGCAGATTGTACTCTTCAGACTTCTGTACAATTTGCCGAAGGGTATGTATGTGGTCTATGGTACTGAAGCCTTTTCGGAAACCGGCTTGTTCGGGAGGCTGGAAGTCGTCGAGTCTGCGTGCGAGACGATTCGTAATGACTCTCGAAAACAGCACGTAGACGCGGCTCAGAAGGGAAATCGGTCTGTAGTTCTTCAAGAGAGCGTTGTCGCCTTTCCTAAAGAACAAGACCACCGCGCTTCTGCTCCACGCCTCCGGAGTAGTGCCACCATGGAGGACGGAATTGAAGAGCTTCTGAAGGACTTCAAATACCGGTGTTCCACCCGCTTTCAGAAGCTCCGCTGTAATGCCATCCTCGCCCGGGGCCTTGCCGTTTTTAAGGTGGTGGAGAGCCATTCTAATCTCGCTCAGACTGACGTCCGGGATATCATCGGAATAGTGTCGGATAAGACTAGACGATTCTAATAATATCAAAATGTATTTCCAACCTATTACTTAAATACCAACCTAACTTGCACTAACTATTCCTTTTGTTTGATGAAGGAGGCTCTTGTGGGTGATTGATAGCGAAAAAGCTTGCCCCAAATTTCTCAGACTCGTACTGAAGAATAGATTGTGGTCGGGCATTAAAAATTACCAATAGATTAAATTGATTTTGCGTTATTTTTTATAGTTTTAAACGAGTCCAGCTGATGATGAGTTGCTCCTGTAGTACAGTAAACTTTTTTAAATAAAAAAAAGCTACAGACGCGCTGTCACCTCTGACGACTAAGTTGGTATGCCTCTTAATCTGTAATTATACTGGCTCTATATAAACTTCCGAGTTTTGACTGAAACTTGACTGTCGACGGATTGTTGCTTCTGTTTTATCATTTAAATAATGGTTTAAAACGGATTTTCATACTTATAAGTAATTCGATATTGTGTATTAAGTGCGTGCATATGTGAACTATTAAAAAAAACAACGAAACAAGTGCTACGATGTTGACATAAACCTCAAGTAATTTTGATCGCTTAGGCGCCTTATGAACTTGACTGTCGTCATCGACTGTTTGCTGTGTTGAGCTGTCGTCAAAATCTCCCAAAAACTTCGCAAGAGCTTCAAATAGATTGCCTCACAAGGGAAATATTTGTCAGAGTCACCACACGTGGCAGTTGCACCGCCACTACATAGTATTACCACAGTATAATAAAGACTTACGATATAATATTTGTTATATAATGTAATATTTAAGTATATTATAAAGTATACAAATCAGAAGTATTTGCTCCTATTATACTTACGCATGTCACCCAGAGCGGTAAGCAGAGAATACGGGGCATTCCCTTCCAAATCCTGGTCACAATATCTTCTTGAACACTTTGCTCTTATCACACAATTTCTCACTCTATAATTTAGAGTCACGCCTAACATATTTTAGTGACAGCATTTCTAAAGCGTTAATTTTTCTCTTATGCTTCTTCTGCTAAACCCAACATTAAGCTTACTCATTAAGACTAGATAAGTATTGTGAATTGAAGGAATTTTTAAAATAGTCAAATTAATAAAATGTTCAGTTTTATTAAATTTAAAGTATTAAATTAAATTACAGTTTTATGTAGATTTGAAGTTTATAAACTGCAAATTTTTATTTCTTTAGTAATTTTTGACCGTGTATATCGTCGGGTTAAACATATTAATAAGAATGTCTTAATGATATAAGTGTACATTTATTTTTTATTTTTTTTTTTTGCGCCCGAAGCAATTAAAGGGCTACCCTATACGTAGGGAGGCGGAAAATGCATTACGCATACCACGATAGCCGGTCTATAGTGGTTATGAGGGGCTCACTGTCCTACCGGGGACCCTAAGTGATACCCTCTAAAAACCGCCTTTGGGGACAGGCAACCGGCTGATTAAGCTCTATTGTGCCTTATCATGAGCGACCCTCTTTTGGGAAAAGAGGGCGCAGGCGGCTAAGTGCCGTTGAGGGAGTGCCTACGAAGGCAAATTAATGTTGGTTATTACAATAATTTTATTTAATTAGAGTTGGCCTGAGCCGCCAGGAGACAGTTCAGGTCGTTTGAAAGTTTATTAGGCGGGTCCGAGAGAGAGTTTCTCGGCCTGCGGACACGATAGCGAGAGGGGGGTGGGGCTGCATAAGAAGCTGCCTCACGTATTAAATGGTTTGGGTGCGACTCTGAGGCTTTGAAGAAGTTCTCAGAGAGTTTTTTAAAAAATTGTTGAATTGTTGGGAGCTCTAAGTCCCGATGAAGGTCGGCATTACGGACGTACCAAGGTGCGTTCGCAGCTCGACGACAGAAGAGGTTCTGAACTATTTGGAGTTCATTTAAAATATTAGGGTTTGCGTGGGCAAAGACGGGGCCCGCGTAGGACATGACTGGTCGTATACAGACCTTGTAAAGGGTACGCTTGTTTCGGAGGGACATTTTACTGTGTCGGCCCAACATACTGTTGAGCCTACTCAGATAAAATCGTGCGTGACGGGTTACTCTTTTGATGTGGGGCTTGAAAGTGAGCCCTGTGTCTAGAGTGACACCTAAATATTTGGCGGACGTATGCCAGGGGACAGGGGTCCCTAGCATACGTATTGGTGGAGTGTTTTTGAGACGACGTCGTTTATAATCGAAGTGAATGGCGGAGCTCTTCTCCGGGTTCACATCGATGCGCCATTTTTTGAACCTAGCTCCTAGGTCATCAACTGACTTTTAGATCTTGTTCCGTATGAAGGGTAGTGAGACACCTTTGCAGTAGATGGCAGTGTCGTCTGCGAAGAGGGAGAGTTGAACACCTTTCTACGGGATGGGAATGTCGTTGGTGGACAGAATGTACAGCAGAGGAGCAAGTACTGAGCCCTGTGGGACACCAGCCTTGATAGTCCGCTATGAAGATAGCGTACCTTCGTGTCTAAAACGAAAGGTACGATGTTTTAAATAGGAGGCCACGAGACGAACTAGACGATCGGGGAGACCTATTTTGTAGAGCTTATAGATGAGGCCTGTGTGCCAGACTCTATCGAAAGCTTTGGCTATATCGAAGAAGACCGCGATGGTCTTATGACGACGGGGGTAGAAGCCGCTGAGGATATATTCCACAATGCGGTGAACCTGTTGGGGACATGAGTGTTTGGCTCGGAAACCGAATTGATGGGGAATGATAAGAGGGTCGCCGTCTGTGGGAAACAGATAGCGCCTCATACGCGTTTGGATGACTCTTTCGAAGAGCTTGCCCATTGCCTTGAGGAGGCTAATGGGGCGATGGCTGGAGGGGTTGTACATTTATACTCAGCGTAGGTATTTATACTTCGAAGTACAGGCCAAATTTTATTACAGGACTTTATAATTATAGGACTATTTATATCTCTAAAAACCACATTTAAAACAGTTTTTTTTCACATTCAAAAGTTTTGTAAAAAGTGAATTATGTTACGTCAGTACATCTATTATCTTAACAGACGGCTTCTAACATTTATGTTTCTTTTATCGTAATGTTTCAACGTTTTTGTATTTTCATAACAGAAATAAAAATAATCGTGTACACATTGAATAAAATTCGCGTAAATTTAAGAAATCATAATCGTGTACAGTTTATGTCGTCAAAGGTTAATAAACCGCAAAAGAATTTTCTATGTCTATTTCTTCTTTTTGGGCGACGAGTGCGAGTTGGCTACAAGCTATGCTCATTATTTGTTTTTAAAAATATCTCGTAAATATTTTTAGTTCAAATATTAATATAGACATAGTCGCAGGTATGACTACGACCATATCTTGATAAATGTGAGTTTAAATATTTTGAAAATCAAACCTCAAAATTATTTTATTAAAAATTAAATTATCATATATGTACAATCCTATCGCAATAGAAAAAGCAAAATGGTTAAAACAGTAATTTTAAAACCTAAATGCATAAAATAAAATCGAACCCTTCCCTTTTTTTTAAGATGCAATATATTAATATTGTATAGCCTATATCACTTCCACAATTGAGACAAATCTAACGACACCCTATATGATAAAACGCATCAAGCCATTTAGGCTACAGAGCATGCCCGAGAAATAGACATACATACTCGTACATACATGCATACCCTCGAAAACATTACCCTCCTGGTACAGTCGGATTAAAACAAATCTACCCATGATAGTAATACTCAGTTTATAAATAAATATGATAATATTGAAAGATCGCGGGTTCGAATCCCAAACGGAACAAGTATTTGCATGGCCCACAAATAATTGTTCCAGACCTGGATCCACGTTTGTCCCCGTAGAATTTGATTATGTGAAACGACTTTAGGTGTCAAAATTCCAAGGAGGCTCTGTAAAATCTGGAGTTAATATAAAAGTATAATACTAAAAACGGTAAATATCTTTATTATACAACACTTAACATTATGGTTGTCCCGCAGTTTTGTAAGTGCTTCACGATGTGCGTCCTGTATTGGAGAATCTGCTCGATCAGCGTGGTATCGGCACTCGGATGGCTGGCGAGGCGGCCCGCCTCAAGGCCATCGTCGCTCTCCTTGGGACTCCCTCCCCAGCTTACGTCATGAAGGCAGCCTCAATGATTCCGGGTATAGGAGCAACAAAGCTGACAGTTTCGAACAACGGTGCGTTCAAGTATCAAAACACATTATTACGTATTAACAAAAATCTTATCCCCCTCCCTACACACACACCCACACATAGAACACTATAAATAATACCTATAATATACCTTTAATTCATCAAAAATCACATTAATCACAATACATGCAGGCTTACTTTCCTAAATCTTTTTGCCCATAATTTTATATTCGCTTTAATAATAACATTAATAATAATATCCTCACATCGAGAATTTAAAGTTGTGGTTATAATACTCGATGTATCCTCCAGATCAAATTTTAGTCACGGCGGCCGGTCTCAACGTAAACTAGCCATGTGCGCATGACAAGATTATAGTGCCCGAGTGTATGTGCAAGCACATGTGCACTCTCTTTTCCCTCACTCTCATTGTTTGATGGGACGTTAACCAAACATGGAGAGATATCAGGCACAGGACCAACGGCTTTACGTGCTTTTGAGGTACGGGGTTGAAACGCCACCAACTTCCTGATTCCGGGCAACTACTGATAATTTCTGTACAGAAAAACACAATAACTAATTTTGGGCCGATCTTAGATTCGAGAGCTGGACAGTATTCGCGTTTACGACCACAGACCCATCAGGCAGCCGCTTTATTAATTATTTTTGGAATAAGAAAAGCAAAATTAATCGGTATATTATTTAATAAAACCTAACTAATTTTTAATGAGTAATATAACATGTCAATAATGTATTTAATTCTTATAATAATAAAATAAATCATTAATAGAATCAGGAGTAGGTAACTTTGCAAAAATCCATTATATTAATTAGTTAAGTTTCGCGTAAAAAAAAGATAATGTGTCTTACCTAGTTTCAAAGCACCTCCCACTATCACTCAATTGCGTACACTATTCCCGTCACCTCCAATCCCAACATTACCAACCACCATTTCCAACACCACTATTCCCAACACCATCATTCCCGACACCACTATACTCGGAAGACACACCACCTATATGTAGTGGATGCAATTAAGAGGATAGTGGAAGGTAACTTCAAACTAGGTAAGACACAACATTTTTTTTGCGTGGATGTTTGCTAATTAATTTTTAACATCCTTAATTAAATATTTTTTATATTTGTCATTATTTTCAAATTTAACACAAAAAATGATTAACTCCCTAATAATGATATCTTTAATCATCTTGTTTAGGATTACTATCGAGGTGGCAATTTCGTCTTTATTTTATTTTTGATGTTAGTCTGTATTCTTTACCGAAATACATAATTTAAAAATTCTATTAAGATAAGGTACATAGTCATTCCGGGAGAGTAAGATAAACTCCCTTTTCAAAAGTGAGTCTTCGGGATTTTGCACTTCCCGTATGAAAGACAAAATTCTTAAATAAATTAATAACAAATAAGCATTTCAACTTACAAAACAGCTAGGTAGATACTTGTTTTGGTGTAGAATTCGTTAACATTTACAAAGAAGCTCAGGTATTGGGTATCATCATATCCAAAGATGTAAATTTTGACTTTAATTCTAATGCAAATCAAGCTTTACATGCTAATTTTGTTTGGCAAAACGTTAGATATTACATTTAAGGGTATGTCTTAAAAGTTAACAGAACTTATTATCATATATTTTATAGAATTTCACATAGAAACTCCTTTAGTGATTACTTGCAAAATTTGTACGAAGCGAAAACAAACTACGTGGGATATCCATTAGTGGAAATAGGAGGTAGAGGTACAAGTTCGTTCATGCGTTATAATCGAACTCAGAACGGATTACAAACACAAACTTTTTGTTGTACTCTGCAGCTTTAAAATTTAATTTAAAAAAGGTTTCAAAAGGCACGATACAGTTCTCTGAACGCATACGATTCATATATATATTATAAAGATCAACAATTTTTTTAATTATGATAATTTAATTAAAAAGAAAAGCAAGTATTAAGCGATCTTTTTTAAATTAGTTGTGACAATGATGATATTTTTACCGGCCGGTCTTCGACCACGTCAACCAATACCGGTCCTCCATCGATTACTAAAAGGAATCGGAGATTATCAACTGCTACACAGATAATTCACGACTCAATAGCTCATACGCAGTTTCTATATTTAAAACGTTCCGATAAAAACTTTATAAATGTCGTTTTTCATTATAAACCACTTTACAGTGTATGAATCACAGGAAAAATCATATATAAATCGAAATAATTGATCAACAAAAACAGCTTAAATTCATTATAAATTATTATAAGTTTCACTTCGTATGAACGAAGTAAAACTTATGACTATATGAATATTTTTTTTATATGTATACTGGTAATAATATAAAATAATAATATTGAACTGAGTACAGCACGTTTGTTTAATATTGAAATATGTTATTAACGTTCAGATCTGTTTGCATTTAATGCATAATACATTCTTATTCATGTACGTTTAAGAATATACTATAACAATGTAAACTTACAAATACAATAGCATCAGCAGTCCCAGTAGTTTCCCAGATGTGTTTAGTGTAAACGTAAACAAACAGTCTCTTACTGGTCCTAATCTATTCGTTTCCGCTATATCAACAAATACGCGATAGGATTGGAAGTAGTTAAATAAGCAGTGTTTATGAGAGATCACACCAATCTGAAGGAGGGTCGCCCAGTGGCTAATAAGAATTTTGCTTCGAACCTGTAGCCTACAATATTTATTACAATGGGTCCAAATATTTGTATCATTGATGCATATAATCGCTTCCATGGTACAGGAGAAATTCATAGTGTAACTTAGAGGGTTATTTAAAGGAGAAAAAACCATTACGATCTTACTACATAAAATGTATGATCCAATTTGTCCCTAATTTCGATATTCTGTTTAAACTTTCTCTGAAAAATTCTTTAAGATTTGTTTTGGGTTTAAACAGAATAAGTTATTCAAATCAAGACTTTTTAAATATACAAAAATATTCAAACTTAATAGTAATATCAATTTCAAAACCAAACAAAATAATTCCTACATAACTTAATTTTTTTAATACACTATACATAAGCACCGACCTCAGAGGCTGAAATGTGGATATTATTATATATTGTGCATTGTTTTTGAAGTCGGTTTTACTTTTTAAAGTTTAATTAATTTACTCTTATAAGTGCACTTAGGCATGAAATAATTTCAAGTTGACAACTACATTATCGCCTAAAGTTATATTTAACACTTCATCTCCTGTTGTAACACCCATAGGGTTTAATTTTTTCTTAAAATTTATTATATGTAACCATTTCTAATAAAAGAAGAATTTTTAAAATCAGCTCAGCCATTTCCGAGAAATCAGTGCGCGTATTCACAAACATAAGCGACAATTGTTTCGGAAAACTCTTTTTTGAAACTGGATTAATAAGAATACGTACAGAATTATTTTACACTTTTAAAGTTATTTGGAAATCGTGTATTGTTTTTTAACTATTTTTTTAACTTTGATTTCAACTTAAAAATAATGAATAATGTCATGACATTTTGTAAAAGTAAGCAACCCTTTTACTCTCGAAGCTCTCGACTCTTTATTCATTTCAATTCAGGTTTTAGAGTTTTAGGCGGAAAATGCTAGTGCATTTTATAGGGAACATAAGTTTTAGAGATTCTAAATTCAAGTTGGTTAGTTGATATTATACAGCAATAATGCATAAATAGTTGGTACTCATTAAAGTTGTATTACAGGGGCGTGTTCGATCGACAAGACAGCGTCCGTTCGGAATACACCAGTGATAGGGAGTCTATGCGTTATGGCATTGTACAACAAGCTTCGATAGACAGCACTGATTCAAGAATCTGCTATCTAACTTCAAGTGAGGTAAGTGGCAATATTTTGAATACTTTAATATATTTTGCAATTACAACGATATCATCTTCAATACACATTTCAACAAGCTGTTAAAATATTGGAAATGTTGCTCTACGTCTTAACTGTGCGTTTGCATACAAAGAATTCAATTTGAAACTTGAGGAGGAAAGTGTAAATTTTGCGACAAATTTTAAGATAAGTTGCTGTTTACGTTTGAACTGAGTAAAACTTATTTAACGTATATATTTACATTGATTTTATCAAGTTTTACGTTAATATATATATATATATATATATATATATATATATATATATATATATATATATATATAAAAAAATATATTTTTCTTTGTACCGTACGTATTGCTATACTATTTATCCAAGTACGATGTCATTTAGTGAGTTGCTGTGTGTGCACTGCAAAGGTCCCCGATAAAAAAATTATTTGTTTATTTGTTTCATACATCATTCATCCGATAGCAATAAAACTTCGGTGATTGTATACACGCCTGTGAATGCTTCTGCTGGTAAAAAGATATTGCAATACGTGCCCGGCACAGATGGTTTAATAAAAAAAAATATTAAGAAAAGGTACAGACGGATTTCAACTTGTCATATTTTTCTTTACGATTGGGTCTACTTCTTGTTAACGCCGTAGTAAAAATAGATCAGGAAAACATCGACATCAAATTTATTGTATGAAGTATAACCTAATAATTTTAACAATATATTAAATATATAATATTATGTATTATATATATAATATTATGTATTGTGTATACGAAAACAAATCTTTCAACCCATTTTCATGTCTACACATATTAAACGATTTTATTCGAAATATTTTGGTTGCCAAAACTTGTAACACATGTTTAGTTCTATAGAATGTCAAACATATGTGAAACACTTAGAGTAATTACATACTTATGCATATTCTGAGATAAAAACATATAGTTTGATAATGCAAACGCGATATGATATAATGACAAATAACAGAATTTGTGAATATTTGTCCAGTCAAAATTCGTTGTAATAAGAGAGGGAGTATTTGATCTGAAGATCTCTTATTGGATTTTTTTATTGGTTCAGGATTTGTCACCTGATACGATGTTGTATACAGCATTTGAAGATCCTGCGTGGAATCTTTCGAGAGTTGTGAGGCACCAAGTAACGCGAGCCGCTTTTTGCTCGTCACAGAGCGAATGCGGTATCCATCGGGAAAACAACTTTTTTACACCCAATTGTTCATGCAAGATTATTTGTATTTGACTCATGCCAATGTCTAAAGTTGCCTGAATTTCGTGGTATGTCACATGTCGATCTTCCCCAATCAGCTTACGCACAGCATCAACGTTTTCTTGGGTGCAGTTTTTGGACGACCTTGACGGGGATCATCACTGAGCTTGACACGTCCACGTTGAAATTCGGAAAACCAGCGATAAATTGTGGTTTTGGATGGGGCTTCATCACCAAATGCAGAAATCATCCGGTCAACACACTGTTTTTGTGTTAAACCACTTCGAAAGTCATAATAAATCATCGCTCTTGAATTTTCTCGAGTCAATTCCATTTTCTCAACAACTAAACAAGTTTGTCAAAACCTTGTGACAAGACCGAGAATCTTTTTTAAATAAATAAATGGTATTCGATTTTTAAAACCAAGGAGTTTTCAATTAAAAAGATTTTAATATAACAGAACAGGAAATATTCCATTCCCGATACTTTTAGTGCAGCCTAGGTATCTGGGCCTTGGCTCCCCAGAGTCAACTTATTCTATTTGACCGCATACAGCGCAGAACAGCTCAAATCGTCGACGACCCAGTCCTCTCCGTTCGGCTCGTTACATTGGCGCTGCGAAGAGATGTTGCGTCTTTTTGCATTTTCTATCGTATCTACCACGGAGAGTGCTCTGAGTTCGGTATAATTCCAGCGCCAAATTTCACGAACGCATATCGCGATAAAACTCACGATACTATCAACACCATATGGATGCTTGGCGGTCCGCCACTGTACGTGTTAATAGGAGTTTTCTTTATCGAATGATCGTTCTGTGGAATCGTTTACCACTGGCGATTTTTCCTAACCGATACAACTTAAGACCTTCAAGAAAAGAGCTTACTCGTTTCTAAAAGGCTGACAACGCACCTGCAATCCAGGGGATTGTTGCAGTTATTCATGGGAGACGGTAGTCACTTTCTATCCAGTTTTGTATTGTTGATTGTAAACATGATTGTAAGCTATTATTTGAAAACAAAATAGTCCCGCTGGGTTTCTTGCTGGTTCTTCCCAGGACATAGGTTTTTTTTTTGCGAACCAGTGCTAAATGAAAAAATTGACTTTCGATAAGTATTGTTTATAATCTACATTGAATAAAAAAAGTTTCTGTTTCTGTTACTGGTGAGCCGCATGCTCGTTGACCCCTCTTCTATATAAAATTACTTCTACTAGTTAAAATATTTGTTATTGATTTTTATATATTATATATTTATTATGTAATGGCCAGTGTTCGACCCTATTCCAAAAAGATAAAACAAAAGATCAGTGATAAGACATCGTTTATTAAAGAATGACTTCAGAATCTGAAATTATTTTCTTCTTTTTAGTTTTTTGTTGTTATTTTAAGCTTTTAAGCGTAACTAAGTAATATCGATAACTAAATGTCGTCTAAATAAGTTGTATTAAAAATTTCATATATAGATATATGAAATATTAAAGATTTTGTACAGTAGAGGATAGGCTATGATGGCACTGCATTGGGTGACGTTTAAATGTGAATACATCCCTCACTTTCGACTTTCCGACAATAGAGTAGTTATACCAGAATCGAAGGATCTTAGCTCAATGAACTCTATACAGTCTTCCATCAGATAAGTCTTAAGAGGAACATGGACAATATAAAGGCGACATTAAACGTCCATATAACACCTGTGCCGGTAGTTATAAAAGCCCTACACTCGCTAATGTCTTGACGAGTAGATTTACTACAAATTGATAAATTTATCTTCGATGGAGAGGTCAATCGACGTATCTTACAGTCCGGGACAGCGTTTTTTTTTTCTTCATAAAACTTAAATGACAAACGAACGTGCATTCCACCTGATGGTAAGTGGCTACATTGTCGTTAGACACCTACAGGTAACTTTAAACAAACAAAAAGGTTACAAATGCCTTATAACCTCTGAGGACCCAGATGGAATACTTCACAGTCCGTAATTATAGTAGCTCTCTATACTCTTTGGACAGGAACACAGCAGTGCAAGTAGTAGGAGTTTTGGCGGGAACTTGACCGACAACGGACTGTCGCTCCTGTTTTGTCGCTCGAATAATGGTTTGAAATGGATTTTAATTTATAAAAGTGATGTGATTTTGTGAATTAAGTGTGTGCGCGTGTGAACTATTAGAGAAAACGACGAAACAAGTACTTTAATGTTGATATAAACCTCAAGTTAATTTGATCGCTTGGGCGCCTTATGAACTTGAGTGGCTGTCGTCATCAACAGTCCGCTGGGTTGAGCTGTCGTCAAAATCTCCCAAAAACTTCGCAATGTGACGCATCAGCATATTGTGACGAAAAAATATATAATATGAAGATTCTGAAAGCAATGAGAGGCTCAGAAGGTCTAGTAACCAGAGCCGTAAAGCCAGTTAAGTAAAAAAAAGTGCAAGTACCTCCATTTGACGGCAAAAACAGATAAGAGAGTGGTACTCCACCCAAACAGACCGCTAGGAAGAAAAGAGGTCCTCGACCGCGGAAGGACCACGCTCTAACAGAATACCAGCGTAAAATAGTAGCTTAATGCCGCTGTGTTTCGTATGGTGAGTGTAGAGAACCGGAAACCCTTTTTACTGGAAACGAGTTGTTCCATCTTAGTCCTCACCGGTGAAAATCGATTCGTAATCGAGGATAGATGTTTGGTAACATTATAAAATCACGCTGTTACTGTGCAAATGTTAAAGAACTTTAATTTGAACTAGACATACGATTAATAGTATGGAGGTGTAAGTATCACAAAGTACTACAAATACTCTAAAGCCCGCATCGAGACATACGGATCTAATCACAGACATAATTGGGACTCTAACTCGCTCTCGATAATACCTGACTTATCAGAACCATGCGCTGAACTGAGGCAAAATTGCTTTACACAATCCATCAGTCTCTCCACTCCATTTCAATTATACAATGGAATGTTAAGTGTCTATGTATGATCTCGTTCTTATATAATTAATATGTGAAACCGTACTGAAAGCAATATTTAGAAATAGAAATTTAAACTTTTAATAAATTATCACTTCAAGAAACTAATAGGAATAAAATAATTTCCACATTACTGCTTTTGGAGTTGGTACTAAGACATAATGTGAATACATTATGAACAGAATATAAAGCTTACTGAGACATAAATTATAAAAGAGTTGAGTCTTACCCACTAAACACCCTTCAGATAGCATATCACTCTATTCGTCTTACTTCGTTATATCATGAGAATTTACTTACGTTGACTTGATTTGGTAAATTAAGTAAGTGCGCACTATCTTCAAGTTCATTTACTCGTACATGTCAGGCGACGTCCATAGTCTATGCCTTAAGAATAGTCGAGAGCACCATGGGCAATAAAATCATAATTATTAGAAATGCATCTATGTTATGCCGTTAGGTTGTGAGCACAGCAGTTATATTACAGAGCACTAAAGTATAAAATTTCATTTTCTTGCTTTGTCCGAAAACCTATTAAGCCTGTACCTATTATTTGTTATAATTATAATTTCGATTTTCTATGTTTATGTTAGTAAATATATAAAATGTGATATTATATTAAAACGAATAAAATACGTATAGTAAAATATAAACTCAACCAAATGCTCAACCTGACGAAAGGCCCTCTTGAAGGAAATCCAGTCGTATAAGAGGAGAGGAAAAGAAATCGGTGGGAGTACCTATGAATTAATTATATCGATACGATGGTTGGTATTGAGAAGCACTAAACTCTGCATTCGTGCCCGGAGTGGACCGTCAAGGAGCTTATTTCATTCGTGCATTTAATCTTGATTATCAGGTTGTGTGTATCTAAAAGCTTAAAGTTAAAAAACGCCATACAACCCAAGAGGACATGCTTAAGCGATTCAATAAGATCGACGACAGTCGATGAGGCCATCTCTTAAGATGTATCTCCTAAAAATGTGATTAATAATCTGATCCTATATCATACAGCCCCTTTTGGTAAACCTCAAAAATAACAATGCAATTACTAAGTGTGCAGTTACTTGGCGATTATGTAGTTCACAGTACAGGACCTTGAACAGCTCAAGGGCCTTCTTATGACAAGGATGAGGCACCAATCGAACAATAGAATGCCTTTTTGATGTTTATCCGAGGGCAATACGAATACATACAAATTTTAAACTTTGTCACATTAAAGCATGACATAGAGAAAAGAGTATATCAGAAAGCGCACAAAAGTAGAGTAAATGCAGCTGAAATGAGAATACTCGAAAAGACAATATGTGAAGTCTTAGGATGTTGTAAGTAGGAAGTGGAACTAAAAGAGAGTGCTAATTTAGAAGCGTTGTACAACTTTGCATGTACTTTGAAAGTTCGAAAAATCGAAAGTAAAAAACAGTAAGTTGCACTCGAAACTTTAGAATTTATTCATCTGCTGTGCCCGCGACTTCCTTAACATAGAATTTCTATTTTTTTTTTTGTTTATATATTAGTTTATAATCGTTTTATTTCTTGAGACTGTTGATTATATTTTATAAACTACATCACTGTTTCAACTCAAACAATAATAGTATTGACAATTTTAGTATACGGAGTAACCGATTAAGTCCCTAGAAGATTTCAACACGGAGGATGTCGTGTCCCTTCAGTATTATATTTAAATGAAACTAAGCAATGTGCATATCTAGCACTAACATAATATAAAAAGGAACTAAAAATGGGTTAAAAATTACTCTAATTTATAAAAAAATAAAAAGGGAACGAAAGTTCGTTTGCTGTATAGTAGCGGCGTAAATGAATCCATCACTACTCTACGTGCACCATCACACCTGGAGGTATGGAAACGCCAGAAAAATTTAACGGCTTTCGATATATGGCGCTGTAAACAAATCAGTTACGTCAGAGCCAGACAAAGTACCAAGGCTAGATGTACCCACACTGGCCAGCAACTTCAAAGATGCAATATGTATGGCATTGCGATCATCAATTTGTTTGCAAACCATGAAAATTATAATAAATCACTTCTGAAGTTGGAGAGGTCCATGTCTTGGAGTAGACTTTTACGGGCTAATGATGAAGGATGGAAGAAGAATTAATAATTTTTGTGTCATAAGGTAATACGATAAAACTCTGAGCCCCTCCAAACTTTAGAGTAATGCGACCGTCTCTGACACACTCCACACTTCGGAGCCACTCCTGCAAGTCGCTTTGTTAATTTTCACTGTAAAGTTCTAGGTGTCACGTTTTAAGCGAATTCGTAGGATAAAACACCTCCTCATCTACACCATAACCAATATTAATATCTGTTTCTAGCACAGTCTTTTAAGGAAAAAGTAATTTGAGCAGTTTACCATTGTAAATATTTGGAGCCAAGCGAAGAAGCAGTGAAACAAATTAAATTTCCTACTGCTGAACATAGGCCTCCTTCATATATTTTCTCACAGGGGGAAGTTTCTTATAAAATGAGCTGGACGATTAATAAAAAAATTCCGCAACCGTAGTGAAAAATTGATTATTAGTAACGCGATAAATTCTGCCCATTCCAAAAAGTAAACCCTCTCAGAATTATGAAGATGAACATAGGTCTCTCCTATAGATAGCGTAATAAAAAATTTCCCCTATTTGCAATTGCCACCTGGCAAGCGAGTTCGCAGCCGCAGTTTTTAATTTTAGTCGTTATTAGGAAGACGCTGCCACCCATCTCCTGGTTTGTTTGGTTTTATGGGATGCTATGGTATATTATAATCTTTGGGTATATTGGATATTCTCACACCGTCGCTAATTGGGTAAAAAATTGTACAACTTAAATCTTTGATTTGATTGATATTTGAACTATACATCACAATTTTTTTACGATTACTAAATTTAAAAAAAAAACAGTAAAATTTACATTGCTGTATGAGTTATTCCGCCTAATTCTTTGTGGAAAACCAAAGAGCATAGAATAATCACTCCGTTTTAGGGATGATTATAACATTCCTTTTATGTTTAGCTTGTGTGAAGCTAAATTAAACCAAAAAAATTTCTCAAACTTAGAAGGATATTTTCAAATTTGATATTTTTAACATAACCACTAGCCGGGTCCACACCGCACGATCCAACGCGCTCCAGTCGCGCGCTCCATAGACGCGTTGGTGTTAACTGTGGCTGTGCCTCGCGCAATCCAAGCTGCAAACTTCGAGCATGCACTCGTTGCCGCGAGCGATCCATTCGTTATCAGTTTTGCGATCATACTCAAAGGGGCCTACGTCACTTGTCGTGCGCGGTGCTGACTTTCGTAAGTGGATCACCCGAAATGATAATCCCTTTATAAGGAGTATAAATGCTTATGGGCCCCTAATAACACCAATTACGCAAATAAAGATGAGAGAAACGATGCTTGGCAATTTATTAGTCATGAGATGGATTACCCAGTTCCTAGTTGAGGCATTAAAAGATAGATCTTTGTCGGGAGGCTAATGGTTTTCGTGATTTTTATCGTTTATATTTTAAAATAATATAGATTGTTGCTGTCACGGAAATTTGCCGCCGTTGTTGCACGCCGTTGACTCCGTAGTGAGAGTTCAACTGACTGATTCAAGGTGAATCAACTGGAGCGGATTGGAACAGCCCGACGAAATCGTATCCAGATCAGAAAAATATGATTCATGATCAATGCTTCACAATCCAAGATCGCAGCTATTGTCTCAATACGATTCACTGGCGGAGAATTTTAGCACCGCAATTCAGAAACGGATTCATTTGTGCAACGCTATCTACTATGGTTGTCATTAAACATAACTTTTTAGTTTAAGGAAAACATGTTCTTTTTTTGTTTTAAGTATAAACATATTATTATAGAACATAATTTTACACACTAATAATTTTGTTATTATTTCTTAGATTTTATGGCGCCATTGAATTAACTCGAACGTATTTTTTGAAAATACCATATCTTTTGATAACATTAACCGATTTTAATAAAACAAAGATTAAATGTAATGCGAAGACACGACAATGATTTCCTTAGCGATTTTATTGAAAAAAAAAATTATTTGATACCGAATAAGTTCATAAAGAAACAGACAGACAATTCTAAAAATTATTAAAATGTTCTAATGATTTTGTCACAAATAGTATATTTACATATTAGAGTAAATAACATATTAGAACCTTTAAATCAGTGCCTGCTGAACAAATCACTCCTACAGTAGCATAGGCAAAGAAGATAGTTCGAACTTAGCCGAAACCAACGTAAATGAGGGCAAATAATCTTACGCTCACCAGATGTCGGTAGTTGACATTGAGGTGAAGTTTTTTGTTACACAATGTCATTTAATTGATAATTTAGTTTTTAATAAAAGTTTATCAGTTTCTAGAGTATTATATTAATACACAAGATAATGCCTCTGTGGTTTTTCTCTGATTGTTTGCACATTATAATTTTTTTAGATTTTTCTATTTTAATGACTATATGTGGTTTGGTTTATTTATTTTTAATCTAATAAATATAAAACATAACTAATGGTACAGAAATAAAAATTAGCCTTTACAATTTTCGGACAAATTAACTTCCCGGCTATGAAATCTGTCAAATTTATATTACAACTCATTTTAAATGGTGCCAACCTGGTGGCACAAAAAGTCGTGGATGCCCTCATTGTTAATATATCTTTTAAAATTTTATTTAAGTTACTTAACGGTAAAGAAAAACATTTTAAGCAATACTTCTTATTCAAAATTTTATAAATAAATTAGTTTGTTATGAAGACACATCTACTGGAAAGAAAAATACAAACTGCATTTATCTGTAACAGCACCACCATCTATCGATGATATTGGTTAACTATTGTACTTTAGATATTAAGGTTAATTATACTTATTGTTCATATTTATTACGTTATTCCTTCTTTTTTTTTGTTTACCGTGTTTCAGATATAATTACATCGTTATGGAAAATTATTTTACATCATTTAATTATAATTTATGATATAAGATTAACATGCAC